TGATTTCTTGAAATCCAAGATATGTCTTCGGATTTCTTCGACTTTGCCCCAACCACAATTCAAGCTTTCAATTTGGAGATAGACACCGGAAATTCGAGGATCGTAAGCTGCTTTAATCAAATTCTCACAAATTTGAGGCAGCGAAAGTCCACTCGAAAATCGACTCTTCAGCTGATCAGACACCTGCAAAAGCCAATAAAAACAATTAATTTAGAAAAAAGTCACAAAGTTAAACGCTTTTCTCAATTGCAATCCCAAACACGCAGCACAACAAATGTAAAATTTGAGAAAAATGCAAAACCTGGCCACGCAATTTGATGGTCAAGACGCTGCCTTTCTTGACGCGCTGCCAAGGGAAGGCAATGAGCATGCGGAGCTTGACGACGAAGCTCTTCCACGCGCTCGCCTTCTCGAACCGAAACTCGCCGCTCGGATACTCCTTGTCTGCTGTTTTGGATTTATTTACGATCTCGCCATCGCTCTCCTTCGATTCGTCTTCTTTGGTATCCGTCGACGACAACGGAGACGAGTCGAAGGCGCGAGCTGAGATGCTGCGCAGAGAAAGAGGGGGAGAGGGAGAGATGAATTGGGGGCGGAGGCATAGGAAGCGGAGGGAGGTGGGAGTGGAGAGAGGTTTGGACAGAGAGGTCGAAACGAAGGCATTGAAGGCGCGGCGGTGGATCGGAGAAGTGTGGAGAAGAATGAGCTTCGACATTCCTCTCTCAGCTCACTGTAACTGTCAGGAGGATTCAAGAAGGAGAAAGAAAGCAAGGAATTTTGAAGGGGATGGCAATTGGCAAAGGTTAGATTTTGTCCACGTCACCACTTGTGGTTTTGTCGATGTGTCGTATCCTGGCGCGCTTTTTTGTTTCCTTATTTCCATTTGATGAAATTACAACGAATTTGCCCTTTCACATACTTTTTCGTTTCACATACATTTGTTGATTATTCGAACATTAATCTCCGTCAATTCATTTAGTTCAATAGTAAAAAAATTAAGAGGGTGTGTAAGAAGTAAAAATGAGAATGTGGATAACACTTAAAGTATCCCCAAATGAGATGTCAAAAGATAAATATCAAATGTTAATTTGATAGTTTGACGTGTCAATATCATATTTTTTCTTTTTCTAACCGTTTTTTTAAGTGATATTTGTAGGACACATTTTAAAAACAAATCAATTAAAATAAAGTTTCAAGATCTATAATTGGTGCATTAATGAGATTTACACAATAAAATAATTAAAATTTATTTGACATCATCTTTTCTTGTATGTCAAATTTAACATATGAAAACTCATATGTCAATCCACATAGGATTAACATATCGGTTGAAGCTTATTTCTACATTTAAATTTGATTACATGACATTCCACTTAGGATTTGACATTTCGTTTGGAGATGGTCAGGGATGACAATTCTAACCATTAAATTCGATATCCGTCCATAAAACGAATTTGCGTATGAAAGTTCTGGTATATTTTGAATCAAAAGTTGCATTTTGTGGGAAAGTACAAAAGTTTTGAATCGAAATCAATGAGAATTCAATGGTGCGTATGAGAGATACCAAATATCAGTCAACGTCATCAATGTTTCAAATTCAACGCTTTCGTTTTTATATTCCACAAGACCAGTTCATTGAATCACTTTATACATCAAATGTTTAATGACGAAATTAATATATACTAAATTATAATGCGTCAACCAAACAAATATATTTTTTGTATTGACGAACATCGACATAATCGTTAACCAATGGGGAAATCATTTTCCCGATGGTTAATTTGCGATTATAAATATGATTAATTTTCGTGGATATAGCATTTCCGTTCATAAACCGAACGGTTGCCATCCCTAGTAGTACTACCCATTTTCTTATACTTTTTTTAACAAATGATATTATATACACTAAATAGTGGAGGAGCGGACTAAATCCTACAATAAGCTTGCACTCTTTTTCTTACTCTTTAAATATCAACATAAATAACTTTTACATTTTACAAGAAAAGAAAACGTTTGAAATTTCCAAAAAATTGGCACAGATACAAGAGTTGGATGGTCAAGTTACCAGATCGATAGCACGAGAAACAAACCCTAGAAAATTTATGAGATACAGCTATTAGGTTCTTAGAATTTTGGGTCGTTGGAGGAACTTGGTTTTCTTTGGGAAGTGCTGAGTAAGTTAATCACAAAGGTACGTACATACATACATACAGACCTTTACTTTTGCTATGGTTTTTCAATTAATTAGTTAATTTACACCTAATTCAAAGTCTTTTCTTTATGTTTAGGGTTTCTTTGTTCAGATCCGAGGATTATTTTTTTTTTTTTGTTGAATTTAAACATCCCAACTGTGTTACTCGAAATCAAGATAATGCAGACCATATTAAAGTTTGTTCTTTGTAAATTTCGGAATTTGAATGCAGTCCAAATTTTTGTATGTTCGTAGGGCAAGGTGGAAGACGACTTGATGAGTTTAAATTTTGAGTTTTGACTACGATGGAAGATGACTCGTTCAAGGACAGTCTGTCAAGAGCAACAAAGTATGCACTAGAAGCGGGTTGCATTAGGTTACGGCGCAAGGAACGCGTCACCCGCTGTGTTAACTTACATCTTCAGACCATCTTTGATCAACTGGTCTCGCTCTACATTCCTCTCTTTCAGTGTCAATGGCGACGGTTAAAGTATCTTTTCGAAGAGTCTGCCCTTCTTCCATCAGGCGTAACTCCGTGGATTCATGCCACAAGATGTTACATCTCGGCATGGATACACGATCTGTATGTTTCAAATCGCGAGGCTGTCCAGACGCTGTGCTCCCTTACATTTTTAAAGCATTACTCGCACGAAGAAGTTTATTGTTCATCGGAATATGATGCCTTTCTGATTCACCTGAATGCAGATATTCGGCCTACTCACATTAAGGGCACTCCGGAAGATACTGTATATGTTCCTGTTCTCAGTGACAGTCCAGCTTGGGGTACTGCTAATCCATTCAACATCGAGAACTTTGTTTTGGATCGTAATTTGGTTCGAGGAATTATTGCGAATATGAAGAGATATTGGAGAACATCAACCGTTGGATCAGACAACCTAGGGAGGCCATTTTGACTACTCGACTGGCACGAGGACTGCGAGTGTTGTTCTTGGTTTCCTCGCGAAGGAAACTACACGATGGAGGATGTCATGGTTGCCTATATACTCGGAGCTGCCTGTACTCCCAATCTTGGATTCAGAGATGTTGATGATTGGCAAAACGGAATTGTGCCTGAAAATGTCAATCCGTTGTCCTATGACCGTGTTAAATATCGACATTTTTATGGTGGTTATGAGGTGAGGACCATTGAAAGAAGGCAAATTGTTGTAAAACTTGATGAGGAAACATTGGACCGTGTCCTTGAAGATCATCGTTTTTATAGTGGTTATGCGGTCGGAGATGGTAAACAAAGACAAATCCCAATATTTGTTAGGGGAACAACCCAAGGCCCTCCTCCGAACAAAAGGAAGAAGACCAAGGACAAGGTTTCCGTTTCAAATGCTGCTATACAGACTGGAAGCGAATACTCCGAAGCCATAACCATACAGACTGGAACCGAGTCCTCCAAAGCCACAGCCATACAGACTGGAAGCGAGTCCTTCAAAGCCGAAGCCAGTACCACAGTCGACCAGTTCCAGATAGTGGATTGGACCTACTCTCACCGTGTTATTCTATCCATGGATTCCGATACAAGGTCCCAGTCACTGTGGGAAATAGTGCAAAATTTGGATTGCTAGTGATAAATTTAGGTAGCAATGTCAACATTTAGAACTTGATTATGTTTTGATGTTTTGGAAAGTCAAATTCTGTGGCAAAAGTGCTTGAGACATTGATATTTTGCAACTGATTTGCATTAGAGTTGGCTGTTTTCTGCATTTTTCTGCTCTTTCAGCATATGCTGGATTGTTTATCCATGGACTCTTGCCACCAGAGCTCACATCTCTGCATGCATCCGCGCTCTATACATTTCAAATCGTAAGGCTCTCCAGCCACAATGCTGCACCACATTTTTGTTGAATGATGCAAATAAGCATCAGCAAGGTATCCACATCAGCAAGGTACCCACATCAGCAAGGTTGTTATCCACATCAGCTCAGTTAGATAGTTGGGATTGTAGGAAGTTATAAGGTGGTTATGAGTTTGTTAGAATGGTTATGAGTTTGTTAGAAACTGATAAAGATAGAACTGAGCATGTATAAATAGGGAACGTCTCTCTTAGACTTGTATTGAATTCATTACGAAATACACAAAACCTTATTCATTCTCTCTCTCTCGCTGTCTATACTACATTACAGCTTAGCATTGTTTGTTCTTCTTCTTAGATTCATAGTGAACTGTTAATATGGTATCAGAGCCATGGATGATTCTTCCACTTCCGCTGTCGTATTTCTGACGGGTAACTGATCCGTTTTGCTGTTCTTGGGAGGTTTTGTTACTTGTTTATGGAGTTTTCATTGGTGATGAAGATCTGTGCGCTCCAGGTGTTCGATGTTTTGTATCAGTGAGTTTCTTTCTCATCTTCTATATGTTGTTTACAAGGCCGATAGCCAGTTGTAGTTGTTCGATGTTGTGAATGTTTACAAAGGCCGATTGCCATTTTATTCTTTCCTCCTCAAAGGCCAATTGCCGGAGTGATTGAATCTTGTAGTTTTCTGCTATATTTCCTCTGTTAAAGGCCGATTGCCAAATAGGGTCACTTTAATTGATTGGAGTGATTGCATCTTGAAGTTTTCTGCTATATTTCCTCTGTTAAAGGCCGATTGCCAAAGAGGGTCACTTGCATTGATCTTGTTTGTTCATCATATACGACATCTTGGTTGGTAGATTCTTAAACTCTTGATTGTCACTATGTCTGATAATACCATAGACTCTGTGAAGGTTGAAAATCTTTTGGGCATGCTCACTGTGAAGTTGCAAGATGATAATTTTGTTAAGTGAAATTTTCAGTTTCAGTCAGTTTTGCGTGGGTATGATTTACTGGATCTTTACTGGTGATAATCCCTGTCCACCTAAATATGTCATACATACTGAAACTGGTGTGACAAGGGAGATCACTACTGCTTATAAGAATTGGGTCAAAAAGGATATGGCTTTACTCAGTTTGCTTATTGCCACTTTATTTGATGATGCAATGGAGCATGTTATTGGATGTAAAACATCACAGGAAGCATGGACTGCTTTACAAGATCATTATGCATCTGTGTCAGTTTCACGAATAAATCAGTTAAAGATTGAGTTTCATACTGCACATAAAGGAGGGGATTCGATTGATAAGTTTTTGTTGAAATTAAAGGCTATACGAGATCAGTTAATCTCTGCTGGAGAAAGGGTTTCAGAAAATGATCTGGTTATTGCTGTTTTAACTGGATTACCACAAGACTTTGATATGATTAGAACTGTGATTTTGGCAAGAGAGACACCAATTTCTTTGAAAGATTTTCGTGCACAGCTTCTTAGTGCTGAACTTACCATAGAATCCAGAGTTTCAGCTCTTACAGGTTCAATGGCAGCAATGTATATGAATGGGGATAATGGTAAAGGACATACTGGTTCCTATCAAGCAAATGGTAGTTATCATGGTGAAAGCTCAGCTATAGGGGCTAGTGGTTATCAAGGAGGTGAAAGTTCCATTATAGGGGCTAATGATTATCAATGAGGATATGGGTTTACTGGCAGTAATCAGAGGTCCTTTCATTCTCAGAATAAAGGGTCATTCACTTCTAACAGGAATTCTTATGGAAACAATGCTTCAAAACCTTATTTTGGTAACAAGAATAAAGGGTCGAATAATACTTTTTCTGATCCAGGCAGAAATTCTCAGTCAAGTTTTACTGGTCAGTCATCTCATGGTGGATCAAAGAATGGTTCAAATTGGCAGAATTGGAATGGGAATACTACTTATAAATCATCAATTACCCCTGAATGTCAAATATGCTCAAGGAGAGGTCACACTGCACCTAACTGTCATTTCAGAAGTACTACTAATGTTAATCAGTATCAAATCTTGGTGTGTCAGATTTATGGAAAGAAGGGTCATACTGCATTAGAGTGTTTTCACAGGAACAATTATGCATATCAAGGGGCTCCACCACCTTCATCACTCACTGCCTTATCTGCACAAGGTCAATCTAGTTTCTCTCCAGCATCAAGTGAGTCTCAACCACATGGGTTTTCTGCTGCTGACACATGGGTGCTCGATACTGGAGCAACTCATCATATGACAGCAAATCTCAATAATATGAACCAAGTTACTGCATACAATGATGATGACAAGATAATCATTGGAAATGGTCAAGGTTTGGATGTGAAGCATATCGGTTCTACTAACCTTTTTACTCCAGATCATTGTTTATTTCTAAAACATGTTTTGCATGTTCCACATATTACTGTGAATCTTTTATCAGTAAAGAAATTATGTCATGATAATGGCTACTGGTTTATATGTGATGATACTGTGTTTTTCATACAGGACAAGGCAACCAATGTGGTACTCTACCAAGGAATGAGTGATGGGGAACTCTTTACTATACCTATGACAGTGTTTTCAAGTTCTTGCTCTGTGAATAAAGGAATACAAGAGGTAAAGGTTGGCTTTGTGGGAAAGATGATTAAGACTGCAATTTGGCATAAGAGGCTAGGACACCCTTCTGAAGAGATATTGACTGCAATGTTGAAAGCAGCAAAAGTACCAGTTAGTATAGATTCTTCTCAGTCAATGTGTACTTCATGCATTTCAAGTAAAATGTGTAGGCAATCTTTTCCTGTAAAACAAAGTAGTGTTACTTTTATGTTTGAAAGAGTACATTCGGATGTATGGGGGCCTTCTCCAAACGTGTCAATTGAAGGATATAGATATTATATCAGTTTTATTGATGAGTATTCAAGGTTCTTGTGGATATTTCCTTTAGTCAATAAATCTGAAGCAGTTTCTGCATTTATAAAGTTCCATGCTTTTGTATCCAATCAATTCAACACTGCAATTAAATGTTTGCAAACTGATGGAGGAGGAGAGTATATAAGTAAAATGTTTGTTGCTTTTCTGGAATCAAAAGGTATTGTTCATAGAATATCATGTCCATACACTCCTCAACATAATGGCATTTCTGAGAGGAAACACAGACATTTGGTAGAAACAACATTGACTTTAATGTCTGAAGCAAATTTGTCTCCATCTTTCTGGTATCATGCTTGTTCATATGCAGCATTTTTAATTAATAGAATGCCAAGCAAAGTGTTACAAATAAAGTCTCCATATCAACTGTTATTTGACAAGGTTCCTGATATTCACAGTTTAAAAGTATTTGGAACTGTAGTATATCCATTTCTTAGACCTTATAATGCCAATAAGCTGCAAGCAAGGTCTGTTCAATGTGTTTTCCTTGGTTATGCTCTGGGGTATAAGGGGGTTGTATGCTACAATGTTCAAACAAGGAAGATGATTTTATCAAGGCATGTAATTCATGATGAATCTGTATTTCCATATAAGATCTTGCACATTACTAAGTTCAGTGACAGTTCAAAGATTGTGTGTACTACTCAGAGGCCTATTATAGTTCAGGTTTCTCTTGAGAATGTTACAGAATGTCAGAATTTTCGTAGGGCAAATAATGATGAAGCTGTTCATGATATGTCACTTTCTATATCAGATAATAGTGTTCATTCTGATGAAAGATCAAGTTCCTTGAATGAAGTATCAATTTCAGAATCCACATCACTGTCACAGGGTATCTCATCAGCTCCATATTCCTATCTCATCACTCCTGGCTCTATTGGTGTACCACAAATGTTGCCTGTCCACAATGACACACAGCTTGAGGTAATTTTACCTTTTTCATCTTCTATATCAGCTAATCTTGGTGAATCAAGTAATGCTTCTGTTCATCCCATGGTCACTCGGTTGAAGAGTGGTACAATACCACAGAGGAGTTATAAGGGCTATTTAGCTACATTGCCTGAACTTCAATCACTTCAATTAGCTGAAGATACTTACTTTGGTGGCGGTTTTTCTTTTTTGGTTGTTCATAGTGATACTGCTGAACCATCGACATTCAGAAAAGCTGCTACAATGCCACAGTGGCAAAGTGCAATGCAAGAAGAGTATGACTCTCTTAGGGCTCAAGGCACTTGGGCATTAGTACCACCACCTAGTGATAGGACTATTATTGGCAGTAAATGGGTATACAAAATAAAAAAGAATCCTGATGGCACAGTTTCCAGGTACAAAGCTCGGTTGATGGCACAAGGTTTTTCTCAGGAGCAAGGTGTTGATTATTTAGAAACCTTTAGTCCGGTTGTGAGACATACCACAGTTCGAATTGTCCTAGCGTTGGCTGCCATTAACCAGTGGGACTTACGACAGCTTGATATCAAAAATGCATTCCTGCATGGTGAGTTGCAAGAAGATATATACATGAAACAACCTCAGGGGTTTGTGGATGTCACTAAGCCAACACATGTCTGCAAATTGATTAAATCTCTCTATGGGCTTAAACAGGCTCCAAGAGCTTGGAACTCTAAGTTTACAAGCTATTTACCTACCATGGGGTTTCAATCTTCAACATCAGATTCCAGTTTATTTGTGAAAAAGTGTGGAAATGACATGGTCATACTACTTCTCTATGTAGATGACATTATTATTACTGGTTCCGATTCTAGTAAAGTTCAAAGGATAATCACAGAACTGTCTGAGGTATTTGAGCTTAAAGATATGGGCAGATTGACATATTCTTGGTTTGCAGATCAAGTATAAATCCAATGGAGATATTTGTGTTAATCAGTCTAAGTATGTCAAAGATCTTCTTCACAAAGCTGGCATGGACTCTTGTAAACCAGCATCAACACCATGCAAACCTCATAATCCTTTGCTTCTCAATGAAGGTGATCCATTATCAGATCCTACTTTCTATAGAAGTATTGTTGGATCATTGCAATATCTAACCTTTACGAGGTCAGATATTGCATATGCAGTAAACACTGTATGTCAGTTCATGGCTATACCAACCGAGGTTCATTTTGGGGCAGTTAAAAGGATATTACGATTTTTAAAAGGCACTATGCATCATGGAATCACATTCTCAGCTAATACAGAAGTAGGGATTCATGCATTCAATGATGCAGATTGGGCTGCAGATTTAAATACCTGAAGGTCTATCACTGGATATGTAGTCTACATTGGTTGCAATCCAGTTTCTTGGCAATCAAAGAAACAGGATTCTGTGTCAAGAAGTTCTACCGAAGCTGAATATAAAGCCTTAGCTCATACAGCTGCTGATATAACATGGATCAGAAGTGTGCTAAAAGATATGGCTGTCGTATTGCATTCTTCTCCTGTGATCTATTGTGACAACAAATCGGCCATTGCTATCAGTGCAAATCCAGTATTTCACTCCAGGATTAAACACTTAGACACGGATTATCATTTTGTTAGGGAGAAAGTTCAACAAGGAGATCTTCAAGTTCAATACTTGTCCACTGAAGAACAAATTGCTGATATTCTAACTAAGGGGCTGCATAGTCCATCATTTCTCAAGCATTCTTTCAATCTCAAGCTAGGAAACCCAGTTGAGATTGAGGGGGGATGTTGAATGATACACATAAGCATCATCAAGGTACCCACATCAGCAAGGTTGTTATCCACATCAGCTCAGTTAGATAGTTGGGATTGTAGGAAGTTATAAGGTGGTTATGAGTTTGTTAGAATGGTTATGAGTTTGTTAGAAACTGATAAAGATAGAACTGAGCATGTATAAATAGGGAACGTCTCTCTTAGACTTGTATTGAATTCATTACGAAATACACAAAACCTTATTCATTCTCTCTCTCTCTCGCTGTCTATACTACATTACAGCTTAGCATTGTTTGTTCTTCTTCTTAGATTCATAGTGAACTGTTAATAATTTTCACAGCCTTGAAGGCACACGACATTATTCTTCAGACCGGTAAGATCCATTTCTCGTTGATTTGAACGCAGCTATTCGCGCTACTCACATTCAGGGCACTATAGAACGCCCCTCCTGGCTGTTTGATTGGCATCAGTAGAAGTGTTGTGCTTGGTTTCGTTGTCAAGGATACTATTCCGCGAATAATATTTTGGTTGCCTATCTTATTGGGGCTGCTTCTTCTCCAAACCTTGGGTCCTAGAGATGTTGATGATTGGCGAAACGGTTCTCTGCCTGAAATCGCCAACCCCTCAGATTATGAACGTATTGTAGACCGGCGTTTCCATGGTGCTTATGAGGTCAGGACCCTTGGACAAAGGGAAGTTACCGACCAAAGAGATTAAAAACGCAAAATCTCCCCATAGTTATTGAGGAGACAACGCGAGAATCTCCAAACAAAAGGAAGAAGACCGCCAAGTCCATGACCGCTACCTCAAACAATGCGACGCAGAGCGGAAGCAAACCGTGTGACGGTGTGAGAAGGTGGAAGTCACAGGCTGCACAGCCTGCCAGTTTCGGCTAACATTTTGGTCATCTTCCCTTATGGTTTCACTTGAATTTTTCTGTGACTTCTGTTCAAGGCTATATTTTATGCAACTGGTTTTGCAGGACGCCGTTTTTGAGGATTCGCTTGATGGGGTTTGGATATTAAGTCTCCCGTCTCGTGTATCAATAAATTTTTCTACGTCCCGCCCCCTCAAGCGAATCCTCAAACAAA